AGGACGGCACGAGGAACCGCGGCGGCCCTGGGCTCCACCGATGCCTCTGGCGTCGTGCCTTGTTTTCGCGACGCGTGACCCCCCCACAGCTCCGACCCCTTGACCCCCCTGCGACCGCCCCTCTTCGCCGCGGTCCGCTCTCTGGCTGGTCCCAGCTTTCGCCCGCCGCCGCTGCCGTCGTCGTCGTCGTCGTCGTCGTCGTCGTCGTCATCGTCGTCGTCGTCGTCGTCGTCGTCGGCGTCGGCGTCGGCGTCGGCGTCGGCGTCGGCGTCGGCGTCGGCGTCGGCGTCGGCGTCATCGTCGCCGCCGCCGCCGTCGCCTTCGCTTTTGCCGCCGCCCCCGCCGCCCGCCGGGTAGGCTGGCGCCGCCCCCGCCCCCGGCCGCCCTCGGCGGCGGCGCGCCCCGCCGCCGGGGCCGCCCCGGGCCGCCCGCGGGTGCCAGCGGCGCCGCCGTGGCCGGCGCGGAGGCGCTCCGCGGCGCGGCGCCTGGCGGCGGCGGCTTGCCGCCTGACAGCGGAGGACGCCCGCCGGCGCCCGGCGACGGCGACGGCGACGGCGAGACGGCGACGGCGACGACGTCGACGACGGCGACGACGGCGACGACGATGGCGACGACGACGGCGACGGCGACGACGGCGGCGGCGGCGACGACGGCGACGACGGCGGAGGCGGCGGCGGCGGCGACGGCGGCGGCGGCGGCCTGCCGCCCGGCAGCAGAGGACGCTGGTTTCGGCAGGGCCGCTAGTAGTTGTGACCCTGCTGATACCAGCAGGGCCCATCTGACTATAGCGGCCTGCTTTAGTCAGAGGAGGAAGAGCTACCTCAGGGGCAATGGTAGGGTGGGATAGGCTAAGTGGGGATGCATCGACGCGCAATCGCCTATTCATGGCTGATTGGGGCCCAATAGCCCTCCCCGCCCAGGACTGTGCGGATTTGCAATCGGGGGTCTATCGCCGATCCATCGGCGATGTATCACAGGTTCTAGGTCGATGTTCCCCCCCCGAGTTGCTTCCCCCCCGTCGTGGCCCCTTCGTGCCGATCCCGCGGCTCGTCCTCGAGAGTTCTGGTCGCCACGGCCGGATCCTCCTCGAGATTCTGGTCGCAACGCGCCCCGGGAGAGGTCCGGGGATGAGTCGTATCGGTACCTTCTTTTGTCCCCCCCATCTGGGCCTTGCAGAAGGGGTCCGAGCAGATGGGGTCAGAGGATCGCCGATGCTTCGGCGGCCGGGCCACTCTTCGAGGCAGAAAAACGGCATACGTAGAAACGTTCGACGGTCCGCGCGGTCTTCTTGGATCTGCGCTGGATCCCCCTGGCGGCGCATACAGCGCCGCCACTGTCGCGTTCCGCGCGGATCAAAGGAGTCCGGGCGGACCGTCGAAAGTTCATGCTCATATAATGTGTTGTTCCCCTTATTCCATCGCCTGCACGTAAGAGTGGCCCTTCGCAGGATGGACCGTTGGTACGGGCCCATCGCGCCCCCCCGATCGCTGCACACGGTGTGATAGCGGCAGCTTGCGCGCACGGGTTTGGTTCCCCCGCGCCTCTCCGAAAGCCGCGCACCAAAGGCCGCTCTTGCTTAGGGCCACTGTTGCGTCCAGTCGAATTCTAGGCCTCCCAGATGGGGTTCGAGCAGATGGGACCGGAGGATCGCGCCGCAACAAGGATGCATCGGCGATGGATCGCCGATGCATCCACGGCTGGGCCGCTCGGAGCCTGCCAGATGGGGTCCGAGCAGATGGGGTCGGAGGTTCGCGCCGCAACCAGGATGCATCGGCGAGGGGTCATGGGCGCATCGGCGAGGGACGGGCGATGCACCCGTGGCAGGACCGCTCCAGGCCTCCCAGATGGGGTCCTCGAGGCTCGTGCCGCAGCGCCGATGCCTCGTGGATGGGTCGCCGACGCAGCGGCGACGCATCGGCGACCCGTCGGTGGCGCCGGCGTGGCGAAGTCGGGCTCCACGCCGAGCTGCGTCGCCGAGGCCTCGGCGGCAGGGCCAATCCCGGGCCTCCCCGACTGGGGCGGGAGGCTCGCGCCGCAGCGCCGAGGGGCGGCAGCGAGGCAGCTCAGGGCGGAAGCCGACTTCGCAACGCCGACGCTGCCGATGCATCGCCGAGGTCGCCGGTCCATCGGTGAGCCATCGCCGATGCCTCGGCGAGGCGGCGCTATCCTTCGACCCCATATACAGTCGGGGCGCTGAAGAAGGAGCCCTGTTCGTTGGGGAGGGGCTCGGTGTTCCTTGATGGTTGTGCTGTTTGCCGTAGGTTTCGCTGAGGTTTTCCGTGGGAGATCGAAGCTTAACTTTTGGGAGGGCAGGGCCTCGTTCCTTATTTAGGGTTCCTTCGGTCAGCGCCCCGACGGTACTCGGACCCCATCCAGGAGGCCTCAAGCCACAGCTCGGGGGCAACGTCGGGCCCTGCTTTGGCCAGTCGGTGACGCTGGCGCCGTCTGAGAGTTGGCCAGTCGTGGGCATGCCCAGACGGCGCCGGCGCGAGTCGTGGCTTGACCCGCCGGGAGCCTTGAGACGGGGGTCAATGCAGACGGGGGTCAGCCAGGGCGCCCGATCTTGCAGGATCCTGCAGGGCCAGGGTCGCATTGACCCGGGCTTGGGCGCAGGATCCTGCAGGATCTTGCAGGATCCTTCGCATTGACCCGGGTTTGGGTGCAGGATTTTGCAGGATTTGCAGGAGTCTGCAAGGCCTGACTGACCCGTGTCTGGATTGACCCGGGTCAGAAGATCCCCGAACCCGCCCCCTCCCCCCCTCCCCCCTGGTCACGCTCGTTATCGCCAAGGGGGGGTGCATCGACCTCCAGTCGCCCAAGGATCGCCCAGAGGCCCGATAGCCCACCCCGCCCAGGAGCGTTCGGATTCGCTATCGGGGGCCCCTCGCCGATCTAGTCGCGACGTATCGCCGATCCCAGGTCGATGCTTCCCCCCCTGAGCAGGTCCCCCCTCGTCGTTGTCCCTCGCCTGGGGCCACAGCGACGGTCGCCGCCGCTGTCGCCACCGCCGCCGCCGTCGCAGTCGGCGACAGGCGGCGGCGGCGGCGGCGGCGGCGACAACAGTGGCGACTCTCGGCCGCGGTGGGCCGATGGCGACTGCCGGTCGCCATCGGCCCAGAGTTGCTCGCGTCGCGACACAATGCACAACGGGAGTTTGGTGGCCGGTTTCGGCCTCTGGGGGCCGCTGGGCCCCAGGGCCGTCAATGCAGTGCCTGGGAGGCAGAGCCTTGTTCAAACGATCAAGACATCGGATGTTTGGGGGCGGCGGTTTGCGACGATTTGCAACCATTTTCCCTTTGCTTCAAGTCGGGAATCTCCTTCTACAGGAGGGATCTTCAAGAATGGTAAACAAATAGTCTGGGAACGATTTTTCGTGCTAGTTTGATATTTGTTTGACGATGTTCCCAATCGGAATTATTAAATCCGCCTGTATGAGGCCATGCCCGATCTAACCCTATGGATTCGACACTAGGGGTATGCGCCCAAGGAGCTGAAATAAGATTCAGCTCGGGCTTGGGAAGTGCTCTGGTTTTCGGGCTGGGCGGCTGCATCGAGAGCCGCAGCTAGAATATGCACCTTCGGGGGTCGCGCGGATCTCTTGCGGGTTCCTGGGATCGGTGCTGGACCCCTCTGGCGGCGCCTCCGGTGCCGATCCGAGGGTGCATCGGGGATGCATCGGCGACGTCGGCTAAGCATCGGCGCCGTGGGCTCCACACCGAGCCGCACTGGCGACGCGGCGCGATCCTCCGACCTATCAGGGAGGCTCTTGGACCCGACGCCCCCCAGGGCGAGGTCCAGGCTGTCGAGGGTGGGCGGCTGACTGCCGGGGCTAGCCGAAGGCCAGGCCTGGGTCTGGGTGGTCCGAAGGCAAAGCCGGGGGGAGGGGTAAAGCTGCTCCCCCTTGGGGGAAGAAGCTCAGCCCCTTTCCTGCACCTGAGGAGGAGGAGGAGGAGGAGGAGAAGGAGCAGGCAGACGAGGAGGAGGAGGAGGTGGAGGAAGAGGAGGACGAGGAGGATCATGATGAGGAGCACGATGAGGAGGAGGAGAAAGAGGAGGAGGAGGAGGAGGAGGAGGAGGAGGAGGAGGAGGAGGAGGAGGAGGAGGAGGAGGAGGAGGAGAGGAGGAGGAGGGGGATGATGATACTGTTGATGATGATGCTGATGATGATGCTGATGCTGATGATGCGAATGATGATGATGGTTGATGATGATGCTGATGATGCTGCTGATGCTGATGATGCGAATGATGGTGATGCTGCTGATGATGATGATGATGATGATGGTGATGGTGATGGTGATGGTGATGGTGATGGTGATGATGCTGAGGATGCTACTGATGATGATGACGATGCTGATGCTGATTATGATGATGATTGTGATGTTGATGGTGATGGTGATGGTCATGGTGATGATGGTGATGATGGTGATGCTGATGATGCGAATGATGATGATAATGATGCTGATGATGATGATGATGATGATGATGATGATGATGATGCGAATGGTGATGATGCTTCTGATGATGATGGTGATGATGAGGAGGAGGAGCAGGAGGAGCAGGAGGAGCAAAAGGAGGAGGAGGAGGAGGAGGAGGAGGAGGAGCAGGGTCAGGAGCGCAAGCTTGTGCCATTCCCCTGGCAGCGCCAGGGCGGACTATGCCATACCACCATCACCGTCGTCATCGTCGTCGCCATCGTCATGGTCGTCGTCGTCGTCGTCATGGTTGTCGTCGTCGTCGTCGTTGTTGTCGCCGTTATGGCCGTTGTCCTCCCCCACATCCCCGCGTCTTCTACTGCTCGCCCTCTTCTCCGTCCGTCCTCCTCCTGCTCCGCTTCTTTTTTTCGGCAGTAGTTTCGCTGCCGGCCATGCTGTCTGTGGAGCTCATCTTGGATGGCAAGTGCTCCGTTCCGTTCCTCCGCCTTCTCCTTCTCTTCCGATGTCCGCCCGTTACTTTTCTGCCCTCTTGGCTCCCCCCGTGGCCCCGTGCTCGCTGCGCCCCAGGAGAGCTGCAGGACAGCGCAGTGGACCTCGTTACGAGCGCGGTGGCCGCGTCGCTGCTGATCGCGGGGCTAGTGGTCACCAGGGCTGAACCAGAGGAGCGAGAGGTACTCTGAGACGACCTTACCTCAATAGAGTTGGAACCCCGGACTGCGGCTACGAGGGACCCCTTCGGGACTACTAGGCCCCCCCATGGTCCGCATGCAATGGAGCCCCTGCGCTGCTGCTGCTCATCCTCTCTTTTCCTCATCTTGCTGCTCTTCCTCCTGCTCATCCGCCACCTCCAGCTCCTCCTTCTCCTGCTCCTCCTCCTCCTCCTCCTCCTCCTCCTCCTCCTCCTCCTTGTCGTTATGGTCGTCACCCTCCAGTTTACAAAGCCCCCCCTTTCTTGACCTGCGCCCCACATAATCATGCCACTCAGGGGACCGAGATCCTCACCGACCCCCACCCGTCCCTCTCTTTCTCCTCCCCGCCCCCCTCCTTCTCCCCGCCCTCCTCCCCCTGCCCCCCGGGGAGGGGAGGTGGAGGACCTTCCTCCCTCCTTCCCCCGTCCTCGTTCCCCACCCTGCCGAGGCCTGCAGGCGAAACTGCCGCCGGGGCGACGTCAAGACCACGTGAGCGCCGCCGCCCCTGCGGTCGCGGCCGCCCCCCCCCCCCCGGCCTCTGCTGGGAGGGCGCGGCCAGCGCGGCCGGAGGGGAGGACCCTCCTGCGCGCCTCCTGCTGCTGCTGCTCCTGGTGCCGCTGCTGCGCCTCCTGCTGCTCCTCCTCGTCTTCCTGCTACTCCCCCGCCCTCGTCATCCTCCTCCATCGTCATCCTCCTCCTCCTCCTCCTCCCCCTCCTCCTCCTCCTTTTTGTTCCGTCGACTGATATAAGCATCAAGGCTGTTGCGTTCAGCCTCCCGTTCCTCCTTCTTCTCCCTCGTCATCGACTCCCCCTCCTCCTTTACGGGTTCACGCATGCGAGCTTCGGTTCCACAAAGGGCGCCGATTCCCTTTCTCTTTTGCTTCCACTACCGATCATGCTCCCCAAAGGGTCTTAAATAAACCCCCGGGCAATAATGGGAAAAACAATAATTTGTTCGTCGGCTGATTGACGGATTCGGACCCCGACAATAGTTGGGAATTAATTGTTCTCGTCGGCGTATGCTCCCGTCGTCGTCGTCTCCCGTCGTCGTCGTCGTCGTCCTCGTCGTCGTCCTCCCTCCTCCTCGAGTCCACGAAACTGAGCCCAGAACAGGGGGGGGAGGAAAAGGAGGAGGAGGGTAGGGAGGAGAAGGATGATGATGATGATGATGATGATGATGATGATGATGATGATGATGATGATGATGATGAGATGATGATGATGATGATGAGGAGGAGGAGGAGGAGGAGGAGGAGGAGGAGGAGGAGGAGGAGGAGGAGGAGGGGAGGGGGAGAGGTGGGAGGGGGGGGAGGGAGGAGGAGGAGGAGGAGGAGGAGGAGGAGGAGGAGGAGGAGGAGGAGGAGGAGGGGAAGGAGGAGGGAGGGGAAGGAGGAGGAGGAGGAGGAGGAGGAGGAGGGACGAGTTTCTATTCCCCGCCGAGAGCGTAGGGGGGGGCATGAATACAGAACCTCTGCGGTTACTGCTGGTCCCCTTCCTCTGTCTTCTCTTCGTGTTGGTAACCCCACAATTTTCTTTCGATGTGGGAGCTCTGTGCTTCGAGGTTGTTTGCAGTGCTTCTGCCTGCTTCCCCCCGTCCGAGGGCTGCCCTGTTTCAGGAGGGGAAGAAACACACAGACACAATGAATCGTCGATTTTCAAGGAAATATGGGAAACTATGGGAAGTGGGGGGGAAGACAAAACCCAGAAAATATAAGAACATATGAGGATTCCTATTATTTGTGTCTATTCATTTGTGTGTCCCAGGGCCCCTTCACTGTTGCATGCCAGTTTGCTAGACCTGATGAGGGCGACAGGGCAGGAGAGGAGATGAGAGGGGCTTTTCGCAGCGCGCTGCTGTGCGTACCAGGGCGGCGGATTCGACTCGATTCCGGTTCCTTTGCCGATGCGGCCCTATCCGATGCACGATCCGATCCGATCCGATTTTCCGATTCGATTCTGACTGTTTCTGTGCTGGCCACAGCTGGGAACTCCGTGTCACTTACAGTCGACACCGATGGTACGGATGGGCAGCCTTCCCGAGGGTACCCTCGCATCCTTGCCTCTTCGGTCCATCCTTAACCACTTTCGATGGCCCGCCGCGCTCGACGAAGCTTCCACACAGGCGTCCAAGGGGCTTGCATCCTCATCGCGCATCCTTACTATCAGTTTTTACAGTGCACCCCTCGCCTTGGTGGTCCATCGACCTTGACACCCCTCTCTCGAGAGGTCGTCGCCACGCTGAGTTGCCCCATGGGTGGTAAAGGAGCTCAGCTCCCCCCAATTCGCTCCACAGGGGTCTCCTGATCCCTCCAAGGGTCCATCTTGGTCCGTTTCTCGAGCTGCGTCCAGCCGTTGCGACGAGGTCCTCCAGAACTGCCCAGAAGCATCCGAAACAAAGACGACGATGACCATCACCACCACGACGAAGACAGATCCTCCAGTCGGGGCCAGTCGGGTAAGCTGCCGCCGCCTTCGTCGTCGTTGCCATCATTGTCGTCGTTGCCGTTGTCGTCGACGCTAGCATTCGTCATGCCGGAAAACCACGACGCGGACGGGGACGAAGAGGAGGAGGATGACGAGCAGGAGGAGCGGGATGAGGATGAGGAGGACGAGGAGGAGAAGGGGAGACAGAGGAATGGGAGGAGAGTGAGGGGGAGGAGGAATGAGAAGGAACCGGAGGAGAAGGAAGAGGATGAGGAGGTGGAGGAGGAGGATGACGACTAGGACGAGGACGAGGACGAGGAGGAGGAGCAGGAGGAGGAGGAGGTGGAGGAGGAAGAGGAGGACGATGATGAGGAGGAGGAGGAGGAGGACGATGAGGATGAGGAAGAGGAGGACGGGGAGACAGAGGAACGGGTTGATGAGAAGGAGGAGGGAGGACGCGGAGGAAGGAGGAGAATGAGGAGGGTGAGGAGGAGGCCGAGGTCGAGGATGAGGAGGGTGGTGAGGAGGGGGAGGCAGAGGAGGAGGACGTGGAGGAGGAGGAGGAGGAGGAGGAAGAAGAAGAGTAGTAGGAGGAGGAGGAGGAGGAGGAGGAGGAGGAGGAGGAGGAGGACCAGTGTAAACCCAAGGTTCATCAACGATATTGGAATGAACCCTCCCTCCAAGCCCCCTCATCATAGGCCCCATCAACGGTTCATTTTCATTGAGGGAACTCTGCCTCGTTGGAAACCAACCGTCTGAAAGCCCTGAAGCATGCCAACACATTGTTCTCGGGACTCCCACTCCACGGATCAACCTTACTGTTGCGTATTGACCATCCTGAATCGCGCTAGGACGCCATTCTTGGGACGTCAACACCGCGAATCAACGTAACAGTTGCACCCGCAAAATCCTGAATCCTTCCAGAGCGCCATCTTTGGCATGTTGGTCATCGGAATCCGGGGAATTCTTGTAAATGTTTGAAACGAATGTGCGCGGCGCTAAGGCGAGAGCCACAGTTTGAAAACCATTCGCCCTCAATCCGTGAAACTCTTGCAACTTTTGAAGACGAGTGCGCGCGGCGCCAAGGCGAGAGCCACATGCTGAAAACCACCCGCCCTCAACCCGTGAAACTCTTTCAAATTGTTAAGACGAGCGTGCGCGGCGCTAAGGCGGGAGCCACATTTTGAAAACCACCCGCCGTCAATCCGTGAAGCGTGTGCAACTGTTTAGAGCGAATGTGCGCGGCGCTCAGGCGAGAGCCACATGTTGAACACCACCTCAACCTGTGACCCCCCTGCAAACTTTCAAAAATAATGTGCGTGGCGCTAGGGCGAGGTCTCCATTTTGGAAACCCTGCGCACTGAAGCCGTGAAGCTCTTGCACATGTTTATGACGAGTGCGCGCGGCGCTGATGCGAGAGCCACATTTTGAAAACCACCCGCCGTCAATCCGTGAGGCTCTTGCAAATGTTTCGAGCGAATGTGCGCGGCGCTGAGGCGAGAGCCACATGTTGAGAACCACCCCCCTCCATCTGTGAAACGGTTGACGGTCTTGCAGCTTCAAGGTCGTAATTTGTGAAGGGGAGGAGGATGAGGGGGGGAGGAGGACCAGAGGAAACCCAAGGGTCATCAACGATATTGGAATCCACCCTCCCTCCAAGCTTCCTCTTCATAGGCCCCTGCAACGGTTCATTTCCATTGAGGGAACTGCCTCGTTGGAAGACAACACTTTGAAGACCCTGCAGCGTGCCAAAGCACATATCAAGCTGACTGCCGTGTCCTGGCGATCCAGAATCGCGCCAGAACGCGATGTATGGGCCTTCATCACAGCGAGTCGACATAACTGTTGCGCCCGCATAATCCTGAACCCTCCCAAACGCAATTTTTCTGGTACGCTGATCATGGGAATCCGTGAAATTCTTCTGATTTTTTTTAGTGCGCGGCGCTAAAGCGGGAGCCACGGTTTGAAAAGGAACCGCCCTCAATCCGTGAAGATTCTGCAATACTTTCAAGCGACTGTGCGCGTCGCTAAGGCGGGAACCACATTTTGAAAACGACCCGCCCTCAATCCGTGAAGCTCTTGCGATGTTTACGACGAATGTGCGCGGCGCTAAGGCGAGAGCCACATTTTGAAAACCACCCGCCCTCAATCCGTGAAGCTCTTGCGAAGCTTAAAAATCAGTGTGCGCGACGCCCAGGCCAGAGCCACATTTTGATAACGGCCCGCCCTCAATCCGTGAAACTCTTGCAATTGTTCTAAACGGATGTGCGCGGCGCCAAGTCGAAAGCCACATGTTGAAAACGACCCGCCCTCCAGCCGTCAAGCTGTTGTAGCTTTGTAAGCTTCAAAATCACAAATGGTGAGGAAGTCTCAGGCGAAACGCACGGTCCGCACTAAAAAGTGGCCTCCAGGTGCGACAAGGAGGAGTTATCTAGAAGGAGGAGGAGGAAGAGGATGAGGAGGAGGAGGAGAAGGAGGAGGATGAGGAAGATGGGGAGGAGGAGAAGGAGGAGGAGAATGAGGAGCAGCAGGAGGAGAAGGAGGAGCAAGAGGAGGAGGAGGAGGAG